CTAGTTAAGTTCAATTTCTTTGACTAAGAGACCAAAAGATCAGTGAGCAGTGGTTATGTCACAATGGTTTATATCTTAACTGAGTCAGAAAGAGGGTTTAAAAATTTACAACAAGGGGTATGTGGGAGGGGGGAGGGGTTTCTGACAACTGAAGTGCCATATTGCTTTACTTTTTAGCTACGTTTTTTTCTTTTCTTAAAAAGCCCCCACTCACTGTGCCGTTCCTCTCGTACAAAAATACTTGATATCAGTATGTAATGCTTTTTCGAATCAGGGGCTCGATGGAACAAATTCCTTTCAGTTTTTATGAATTATGTAGTGCAAATAAAATTAAATGAACCGTGATATAAAAGAAAGCCCCAGCTCTGAAACATTTCATAGTTATTCATCTGAAAGTAATAATTGGACAGAGAGCAGGCTAAATGGATTTCACATATACTTTTCTAGTAAGGAATAATGGCTAAGGTTCTTCCAATCTTAGATTTTATAACTCATAAAAGTTTAACTTTAAAATGTCTAATCTTTTGTATTTCACCCTCGTTAAGTTTCTTTCTTTTTTGCTAAAAGTCCTGTTTATTATCCATTAGGGCATGTTACGTTGTTTTAGAAAAAATATCATGGAGACGTGACATCAAAGATTTTTAATTCTTCTGAAATTTTAACGACAACACGGTGTCACGACTTATTAATAGTCAATGACCAGGTTAAAATTGAAGATATCACTTCCTCATCCGCATGTAGGCTGCAGTTATGTGCTTACTGGTCCCTGTGGAAGCCAGGCCAAACAGACGGAGAACTGCAACAGCCATCAGCCTTCAGTCATTTTTAAGAAAAGTAGACGACTGTCAAGCCGGTAATCTTTTACAGATTCACTTTGATGGAGGTAGAACCCAGGCAAAATGCGATGGTACATCTACAAAGAGCTTAACAACTAGTAAGTCTCAGTCAAAACTACATCACCTCCCCCCCGCCCCCAGTGTGTCGTGTTATTGCTTAAGGTCCAAAATTTACGTACGGAGATTGTTGCTTTCTCATGCAGCTGAGCTGCCTTTTTTTGATTTCATACTATTGAGTCTTGTTTAGTTATAATTTTAACTGAAATTGTTTTCAGAAGTGTTCCCTAATAGTGTACTTTGTATTTCAAAGAATTTACGATTGAGGATACCAGAGGAAAGAAATGTATTCAATACACTGATAAACAAGGCGGTAACACACGGTACTATGCGCTGAAGGTCATTGACAGGGCGACGGTCACGCCGGCGGTCACTTTTATGGTGAGTTAAAACTATTTCTAAGCGTCTATTGGCAAGTGTATTTTATAAACATTTTTTTCTGATATTATAGCTCTACTGAGTGCCGTAGCGGACCGTCAGGTAACACGGCTAAATTTATTGGACATACATTACAAAGTTGAAGTTTGAACAGTGTCTTTCTTTCCAACTAATCTGAAATCCCTGAGTTTGTGGACGTTCTTCGCTCAAACGAAACCGTTTCGATTTTGCCGTTATTTTGGTGCGAGCGATCTATGAAACTAAACAACAGTGTTCAAGAAAAGTCAATTTGGCTGAAACATTGCACAAATATCAGCTGTGAAATATCAGAAGTCTATATATGATATTATTTAAAACTGGATCATTGGATAATGCAACTCAAGCACTTTCATTGACTTAGCCATCATGGAATATGAGTAATTATACCATACGGTACAAATATCAGTGTGATAAGCCTACGCATAAGTATTTTTAATTTTGGGGCGTTTTTATATTCATTTTAGTTTAGTTTTCTATATTTTAGGGGCGCTTTTAATGAAACAATTATTCCACTCGCGCTTGTTGGATATAAGAGGATTTTAGTCATTTCGGCGACGAGCCTCGTTGGCTTTCGATCATTTTATATCCAACGCGCACTTTTGGAATAATTCCACAGCGGCGGGAAGATAACAATTTTATTTTCGAGCAGTAAAATATAGTGAGAACATGGAAAATACGTCACTCGGGTTCCGGGTGTAGTGGGTATGAATTTTATGATTGGTGCTTTTTCCAGTAAAACACCCGTGTCTTTATAATAAATGACAATATTCGTTGGCAACAACAAAAGACCACCATAGGCTCTTGTTGGCAACAAGTAAACGTATGTTTAGCTAAATAAAATGAGAGTTTTGTCTGAGCGAAATGTTTATTGAGTTTTTGTTTTCTTTCGCAGAATGAGCGATGTAACTCTTCAACTGCTGATGCGTTCTTGTTTGATGAAGAAAGGCAACCACCTTATAGATATTATAAGAACACTAATTTGTACCTTGGAGTAAGTAAGAACTGCACTGATGAGAGATTGTCTCTAATCTGCGCTAACATCGGTGATAGGCGCTGTAAATTTAGGTGGAGATCATGAATCAATTAATCAAACGATCGGTCACGACCGATCGCTCATTGAATCAATGAATCAGAGAATAAATAAATATAATAAGTATAATTACTCAGATGATTATAGAAATTCTCGCGCTCTCATTGGTCGAGAATGGCGTCATATTCCGCTATACTTTCACCCCCTCCTCTAATTTTCAAAATGGCCGCCTCGCGCTTTCTCAATGTCTCTGAAAAAGAAATTAAGATAAGGAAAGAAAATGCTATTCCGAGAAACACCAAAAATACAGCTGAAACTTTGGACTGACACTTTTCAAAGGTAAGATGTGAAAATTGTGCTAAATATAACATAGAAACCTTTTTAAATTTACTTGAAAATGTCGCTTATGTCGATATACACGAGTAAATCAAAGCAACTATTAAATTTTCACGACTCTTCAGTTATTTACTTTATTTATCTGACAGGATGGTTTCAACAACAAACCGAATTTACCACTGACTTTGAGACAATTTGAGCCTCCCTTTTGCTTTTTCTTAGAGGCCGGACGTTTTAAAATGGGCGAAAAACACTTGCCGTTTTGACAATATGATGTATTAAACTATGGGATCTGTACCTGTAGTTGTTCGTTGACGCATGACAATAAGAAATAAAATTTAACATTTTTCGATCGATCCTTTACTTAGGTATTTCTATAGTCACCTGAGTAATTGTATTAAAACTTCGGCGAATAATTGTTAAAGATAAATAAATTAATATAAGCTTGAAGCAAAAGTTCATAGTAATCAGATTCATAATATCGTTTTGAGAAAATAGGTCATCAAACTTATTGATAATTCATCAAGTTAAAACAAAGAAAATCACAGCCCTTGGGGAGGTTTGGATACCCGGTCTTTATGAGCATAGATTTTGACGAGTTTACTTCTCCGTTAACTCCTTAGTTTTTGTTTGGAACAAAATTGTTTAATAAAATCAACATGCGTATTATTTAGTAGTGTTTATGATTTTTTAATTTATAATTCTTGCCAGTACTACAATAATTTGGCCGGGTGGGAGGATACATAGTGAAAAATTACTTACTAAGGAGGGTGGGTAAGAAGTAAAATTACTCTATCAAAAGAGGAAGCGG